CCTCCATACCATCCTCAGCCCTGGGGTAACTCCAATCCCTCCATACCATCCTCAGCCCTGGTGTACCTCCAGTACCTCCATACCATCCTCAGCCCTGGGGTACCTCCGATCCCTCCATACCATCCTCAGCCCTGGAGTACCTCCATTACCTCCATACCATCCTCAGCCCTGGGGTAACTCCAATCCCTCCATACCATCCTCAGCCCTGGAGTACCTCCAGTACCTCCATACCATCCTCAGCCCTGGGGTACCTCCGATCCCTCCATACCATCCTCAGCCCTGACGTACCTCCAGTACCTCCATACCATCCTCAGCCCTGGGGTAACTCCAATCCCTCCATACCATCCTCAGCCCTGGGGTACCTCCGATCCCTCCATACCATCCTCAGCCCTGGAGTACCTCCAGTACCTCCATACCATCCTCAGCCCTGGAGTACCTCCAGTACCTCCATACCATCCTCAGCCCTGGGGTAACTCCAATCCCTCCATACCATCCTCAGCCCTGAAGTACCTCGGATGCCTCCATACCATCCTCAGGAACCACCAGTTGGAGAAGAACCACCAAAGGGCCCCACTGTGATAGGGAAAGAGAAACACAAACATCTCCCACCTAGACTACACCACCATGTACACCGGGGACTGCCGGGGTCATCGAAAGCAGAACTTGGTTCAGTAGAGCTGTCAATATTAGAGGAGAAGATGGTGGAGTGGGTGAGGAGTCAGTCTTTAGGGAGAAGATGGTGGAGTGGGTGAGGAGTCAGTCTTTAGGGAGAAGATGGTGGAGTGGGTGAGGAGTCAGTCTTTAGGGAGAAGATGGTGGAGTGGGTGAGGAGTCAGTCTTTGGGGAGAAGATAGTGGAGTGGGTGGGGAGTCAATCTTTGGGGACAAGATGGTGGAGTGGGTGAGGAGTCAGTCTTTGGGGAGAAGATGGTGGAGTGGGTGAGGAGTCAGTCTTTGGGGAGAAGATGGTGGAGTGGGTGAGGAGTCAGTCTTTGGGGAGAAGATGGTGGAGTGGGTGAGGAGTCAGTCTTTGGGGAGAAGATGGTGGAGTGGGTGAGGAGTCAGTCTTTGGGGAGAAGATGGTGGAGTGGGTGAGGAGTCAGTCTTTGGGGAGAAGATGGTGGAGTGGGTGAGGAGTCAGTCTTTGGGGAGAAGATGGTGGAGTGGGTGAGGAGTCAGTCTTTGGGGAGAAGATGGTGGAGTGGGTGAGGAGTCAGTCTTTGGGGAGAAGATGGTGGAGTGGGTGAGGAGTCAGTCTTTGGGGAGAAGATGGTGGAGTGGGTGAGGAGTCAGTCTTTGGGGAGAAGATGGTGGAGTGGGTGAGGAGTCAGTCTTTGGGGAGAAGATGGTGGAGTGGGTGAGGAGTCAGTCTTTGGGGAGAAGATGGTGGAGTGGGTGAGGAGTCAGTCTTTGGGGAGAAGATGGTGGAGTGGGTGAGGAGTCAGTCTTTGGGGAGAAGATGGTGGAGTGGGTGAGGAGTCAGTCTTTGGGGAGAAGATGGTGGAGTGGGTGAGGAGTCAGTCTTTAGGGAGAAGATGGTGGAGTGGGTGAGGAGTCAGTCTTTAGGGAGAAGATGGTAGAGTGGGTGAGGAGTCAGTGTTTGGGGAGAAGATGGTGGAGTGGGTGAAGAGTCAATCTTTGGGGAGAAGATGGCGGAGTGGGTGAGGAGTCAGTCTTTAGGGAGAAGATGGTGGGGAAGGTGAGGAGTCAGTCTTTGGGGCGATGGTGGAGTGGGTGAGGAGTCAGTCTTTGGGGAGAAGATGGTGGAGTGGGTGAGGAGTCAGTCTTTGGGGAGAAGATGGTGGTGTGGGTGAGGAGTCAAGCTTTGGGGAGAAGATGGTGGAGTGGGTGAGGAGTCAGTCTTTGGGGAGATGGTGGCGTGGGTGAGGAGTCAGTCTTTGGGTAGATGGTGGAGCGGGTGAGGAGTCAGATCTTTAGGGAGAAGATGGTGGAGTGGGTGAGGAGTCAGTCTTTAGGGAGAAGATGGGGGAGTGGGTGAGGAGTCAGTCTTTAGGGAGAAGATGGGGGAGTGGGTGAGGAGTCAGTCTTTAGGGAGAAGATGGGGGAGTGGGTGAGGAGTCAGTCTTTAGGGAGAAGATGGGGGAGTGGGTGAGGAGTCAGTCTTTAGGGAGAAGATGGGGGAGTGGGTGAGGAGTCAGTCTTTAGGGAGAAGATGGGGGAGTGGGTGAGGAGTCAGTCTTTAGGGAGAAGATGGGGGAGTGGGTGAGGAGTCAGTCTTTAGGGAGAAGATGGGGGAGTGGGTGAGGAGTCAGTCTTTAGGGAGAAGATGGGGGAGTGGGTGAGGAGTCAGTCTTTAGGGAGAAGATGGGGGAGTGGGTGAGGAGTCAGTCTTTAGGGAGAAGATGGGGGAGTGGGTGAGGAGTCAGTCTTTAGGGAGAAGATGGGGGAGTGGGTGAGGAGTCAGTCTTTAGGGAGAAGATGGGGGAGTGGGTGAGGAGTCAGTCTTTAGGGAGAAGATGGGGGAGTGGGTGAGGAGTCAGTCTTTAGGGAGAAGATGGGGGAGTGGGTGAGGAGTCAGTCTTTAGGGAGAAGATGGGGGAGTGGGTGAGGAGTCAGTCTTTAGGGAGAAGATGGGGGAGTGGGTGAGGAGTCAGTCTTTAGGGAGAAGATGGGGGAGTGGGTGAGGAGTCAGTCTTTAGGGAGAAGATGGGGGAGTGGGTGAGGAGTCAGTCTTTAGGGAGAAGATGGGGGAGTGGGTGAGGAGTCAGTCTTTAGGGAGAAGATGGGGGAGTGGGTGAGGAGTCAGTCTTTAGGGAGAAGATGGGGGAGTGGGTGAGGAGTCAGTCTTTAGGGAGAAGATGGGGGAGTGGGTGAGGAGTCAGTCTTTAGGGAGAAGATGGGGGAGTGGGTGAGGAGTCAGTCTTTAGGGAGAAGATGGGGGAGTGGGTGAGGAGTCAGTCTTTAGGGAGAAGATGGGGGAGTGGGTGAGGAGTCAGTCTTTAGGGAGAAGATGGGGGAGTGGGTGAGGAGTCAGTCTTTAGGGAGAAGATGGGGGAGTGGGTGAGGAGTCAGTCTTTAGGGAGAAGATGGGGGAGTGGGTGAGGAGTCAGTCTTTAGGGAGAAGATGGGGGAGTGGGTGAGGAGTCAGTCTTTAGGGAGAAGATGGGGGAGTGGGTGAGGAGTCAGTCTTTAGGGAGAAGATGGGGGAGTGGGTGAGGAGTCAGTCTTTAGGGAGAAGATGGGGGAGTGGGTGAGGAGTCAGTCTTTGGGGAGAAGATGGTGGAGTAGGTGGGGAGTCAGTCTTTGGGGAGATGGTGGAGCGGGTGAGGAGTCAGTCTTTGGTGAGAAGGTGGAGCGGGTGAGGAGTCAGTCTTTGGGGAGAAGATGGTGGAGTGGGTGAGGAGTCAGTCTTTGGGGAGAAGATGGTGGAGTAGGTGGGGAGTCAGTCTTTGGGGAGATGGTGGAGCGGGTGAGGAGTCAGTCTTTGGTGAGAAGGTGGAGCGGGTGAGGAGTCAGTCTTTGTGGAGATGGTGGAGCGGGTGAGCCATCTGAACATTCTTCTGCCATGGACGCTCCATCCTCCCGCTCCATGTAGAGTTCTTTAGGTGTCGTCAGTCAGACTTCGCTCTCATATCGGCGGCCTCTCTCCTTCCAGGTTTAATGATCAGACCCAAGATGGATTCCCTGGACATCGTCTATAACGCCAGTGGACAGAGCAGTAACTGGCAGAAATATGTTGATGGTCTTAATAATGTGCTGCAAGGTGAGTCCACCAAGATCCCTCATACTGTCTCTATAACCTCCCTCCTCCCTCCACTGATATGTATTCTCCTCTAACACCTACATGCCTGACAACTGTCCCCAGGACCATCTGACGTCCAATATCCAACACCTTCGTTTGACATCTTTCCTTTCCAGCATCTACGATCTTTCCATCTATACATCAGCTACCAATCAGCTACCTTGTACTTCATCTCCAACCATCTCCAACCATCACTATGCCCAGCCTGTGCTCATGATATCTGCCTCTGATATTGAGGTCCTCCATCCATCCACATCTCCAACATTCAGCATCATTCACCTCCAGAGGCGTCTTTGCCTTATATGTCTGTCCCTAGGACCTCTATCGGGTGTCATTGTGTTGTCATGACATTTCTCATCCCTCTGGGTTCCAATCTAACATGGCGGGACACCTTCTCTTCCACAGATTATAACCAAACCGTCCAGGAGCAGAGAGGAGCCAATTGCACGTCTGGAATCTACAACAAACAAGACGATACTGGTGATGTCAGGAATTACCCGAAGAAGGCTTGTCGGTTTCTACGGGATGACCTGAGTGATTGCTCCGGGATAAAATCCGATCCCACATACGGATATGCCAATGGAACGCCATGTGTGCTCATTAAAATGAACCGGGTGAGCCGTTTTGGGGACTTGGTTGGGTGGGCTGAATTACCATATATTAAACCACCTCTGTACCCCCCTTTCCCCTTATATGATGATACACAGAATTGCCCCATCCGGCTTTGCTTTCCTGTTTGTTATTGCTCCTGTCCCCCCTATAAGTCACCCCAATTCTTTTCTAACCCTACCAGAGGTGGAGCTGGTGGAACTCTTTGGCCCGGGCCTCACCTGACAGGGAGACCTCACCTTAGGGGTCCATGGTCCCTCGTGTTTTTGTTTTGCATGGGGTCAGAATTGAATGTTGAGAACATCTGTCAGGTTCTCATTGCTGTCTTGTATCCTTGTTGGAGATATTTTGTCTCACGCCATGTCCTGGTGAACATACCCCCCTCTCTCCTAAATCTTTGTATGTTACCCTTATCTAAGCAAATATCCCCAAAAAACAGGCCAATGGCACGATAAGCCTGATCAGGGGGTTCATTGACAATGTCATGGGGTGCTTATGTCTGACTGTTTGCAGGTCACCCCATCTCTCTTTATGATGCCTCCATCTTCCTATCACCTGAATGTCAGCGCTCATCTCTCATGTCTCTCTCTGCTATGACAGGTAGTACACTTCTTACCCCAAACCATCCCAAGCCTCTCCAACGACTCCATCACCATCAAATGTACCGGCAAGGTAAGCATATGGCGAGCTCTCAGACCTTCTGCTTCCTGTCTTTCCTGTCGGTGGTCTCAGACCCTCTGTGTCTCTCTCCTTATTGTCTCCAAAAGATAAAACTCGCTGTAAATGAGACGGTAAGAGGTGGAGCCTATAGGAGGCACCAGAGGGTCCTCATAGACCTATATATAGCAGCTCATAGACCCCCCGCC